AGCTCCTCCACCCGCGCCCGGCTGCCCGCGATATCCGCCTGGAGCTGTCGACGGCGGGCGTGGAGGTCGTCAAGGTCGCGCGGGGAGAGCGCGGCAGGAGGGGTGAAAGGGGAGATGTGGGCGATCCGCACACCCCCGTCGGGGCCCCCTACCACACAGGTGAAGCGTGGTATCACCTCAAGCGATAACCCGTCGCCATTTGTAGTGGGAGGCACAAGAGAATAGACGATACCAATGAAATAAGGCGTGGGAGACGCGCGCGGATCGCGGAAAAGGACGACCTCGCCCGGATGGAATCGCGGGAGCTCAGTCATCCACCGTGGGGAGTGGAACGATCAAATAAATAAAGGGAAATGCCCCGCTTATACAATTTAATGAAGAAAAAGTAGAAAAGATTAGGTTGATATAGGCCGCTTTCTAAGCTTGCTACCCCAGTGAAGTCCAAGAAGTGAAAAGGAGGGTGAGAGAGACAGGGGTGTACATAGACGCCCTTTAGGTCATGAGTGTTTTTTTCTTTCAATTTCGCTTCCCCGATTCTGTGCTTACGTTCTTGGGATTTTAGATTTTTAAATAACATAAGCAAGGCCTACATACAGTAACGAAGTCATAAAGTTAAAGGCACAGCTATCAATGGATGTAAAGGTGTGAAAAATAATATTAAGTCTTTGAGTTTTACACATTTCAATGAAACCTTGGGGGTGGTCTATGTTTTGATGTGATAATACACAATATTTTCAAGCCACACCAATATGTAGGCAAACGAAGGTGTGGTAAAACTTTTTTGTCAGCATGTCCTCCTCCTCGCACTAATTAAATACACGATTCCGTACTGTTTATATACAAAAAAAAAACATGTAATAAGAAACACACAAACATACTGAATTCCCCGCTTACGGATCCAAAGGATGCCCTACATGGGGAAAACATTTCAGCTATAATTCTGGAGCTTCCCACCAAAAGCAAGGCGATAGTTGAAGAAATCTACCCGAAAAAAAACGCTCAAACACAGTCACCACCACGAAGAAAATAAAACCAGCATTTTCAAGAAAGCAGTATCAGTGAGAACAAGCAGGGCTGCGATCCTCTATGCAGATTATTATCATAGGTCATCAGGAAAACGAAGTAGCTACATTGTAATTGACTGCTGTGTGAAAACCATGAAGCAAAATTAATGTTAACAACATGATAGGAGCATTGCTATAGGGGAAAAATGATTAACAGAGCAATGTCTCAAATAAAAATAAATGAATCACGTGAAACTTCTAAATATAATAAATATATAAATCCGTGAGAGCCCATACTACTTCAGAAGTATCTGCCTTTTACTACTCGTTATCTAGATATTGAACTTAATGTTTATTTTCTGCGCTGAGCCCACAAGCGCTAACCATATATAGACTCGTGAATGCAGAATAGCTCCTAAATTCAGGAAACGAAAAAATAAAATAACACAAAATAGTGGGCTTAAATCAATCATTTTAGTAACAGTTCCCTCTAGATACTCAGTGCAGAGAAATGTTCACCTCCACTTTAGAAAAAATGGCTTGATGACCTCTGGAAACAAAGAAGCAGCTCCAAAATATGAGGAGAAAGCTTGTAAATGTAGTTATTACCACAACTTTACTAAGAAATAGTATCTGAAACTCAAACTTGGCAGTAATTGAGCAGTTAAATAAAAATAACATCTAAAAAGGGGGGAAATAACAGCAATTTAGTAGAAATATTTTATGATACTCACCTTGAATTCACACTGTGTAAGAAAGAAATTAATAAACTCCCGGGTCAGAGCCACGACAGTTTTTGTATAAGATATTTTAGCAGGAACGGTTAAGGGAAAGAGGGGAAAAGTAATGAAATACTTCTGTAATCCATCCAACCGTTCGTCACGTTGCTACACAATTGCTGGACTGGATACGTCTTGTGACCTTTGATAGAGCGCCACCTCGACACCTGAAGCTCAAGCAGCCGACACAACCGCTTTGTCGAATCGTAACTTTTAGATCATTTACCAGGTTTGTTCATCCTTCAGTCTCTCAAGCAGTTTTTTTATTTAAAAGAATACACTAAAAAGCATCTATAGCAATACAAACGAAGACTTTTCTGAGATCCTCATCCGCATTAGGGAACTGTATGTGGCATGTTTAATCCTTTCTTTCTGCAAGCACGATTACTCTTCTCACTTCCGGAGCTACACTGCGATCGTGTATTCTGTGGAGAACTACAGCGCATTTTCTAATCTCCTTGTACGGTTACACCTCCTCCATACACCCCCCTTTCTCATATGTACATGCCCTTTCTTTGATTAACAAAAACTCCCCGATTTCTGAATCAAATGCCAATATTCATACCACTCTAAAAGATGATCTGGGGCTGGCAACCCAGAGAAAGACAGCTGCAGAACATTTCCTAACGTTTTTGTGCTTCATTGCATAGATTCACTATCTCGGTTGTCTATGGTGTATGCAGTCGAGCGAATGGGCATGAGTGGGGCCCCTAACTCAATATAACCTCCATGTCGTGAGCTGGCTTTGCATAGGCATGACACATGTGCCCTTCTATTTGAGCACAGCTTAAGTTTGTCACCGTATCTCCTTCCTCCTCCACCGCATACAGATCGACATCGTCGGATAGATTTTACGCACGCGCCGCGTGAAGTGTAGACATGCATTGTTCGTCTGAAATAAAGCATGACAAGCGGAGAAAGCCCCTGCTGTTGTCGCCAGCTCTGAGAGCATCGATAGATCCCGAGTGGTTGCCACGAACCATCTTTGAGACCTCTTGCTTTCTGGCAGTCTCTGCACCGCTTCTCAAGCGTTCTAGGTCTTCAGAGGGGTAAATTCGCGTGAATCTCGGCAGCATAGGTACACACATATTCTGGGTCGACAAGGGTGCGCAGTTCGGGTCCTGACGCGGAGGTTCTGTGTGGAACTGTATGTACCCTCCTCCAGCACTTAAGATGGAATCATCTTCGTGGCAGGTATCGTCATCCTCCACCACAGTCGATTTATGATCGCAATTATTCAAGAATCTACCATACTGATTCAATAACTTGGCGCAGCATCGCTTACCCTCCGCACGAGTAAGTGGTGTTTCTTCGAATACTTCAGGGCTAGGGTTGCGTTTAGTGCGGTTCCCACCGTTTCCCCAGACTTCATCCTTATCATGCGGTGAGCGAAAAAAGCTACGCCGCGACAGTGAGAGCACACGAGCGAAGCGAAATCGCGGTCGCCATGTCTCCCGCTGCACGACACGATGCAAGCTCTTGAAAGTGAAGCTGTCCTCCTCGAACATGGCCGACGTGTCAAAAGAGCATGACGATACCCCTAACCGTCTCTCCTGCGTCTGGATGGAACTACAGAAGCTGTCCTGCATGGAATGCAGGCTGGCCGCACCCGAGGTGACGGGCGAGAGCACGCTAGCACGGGGCAAGTCGTCCCTAAAGTGAGACGTGTGGTGGACGCCCGTGTGGTTGGGGTACGAATTCAGCCCTTGAGGGCATTGGTCGCGTCCTGTGGTCCCCTCTCGTGAGGTTCCCCTTGTGAAGTGGGCGGGATAGACCTCCTCCACGCTCATGGCGGCTTTCGGATCACTATAGGTGAAAGAAGGCACCGCGTGAACGGTGTCTCCTCGCTTTCTAGAGGAGCGGCTCAGAATCAAGGGCCTCCTGAGTACCCCCTCGGGCGTCGGGATGTGCTCGCCAGGCGCATCCCGTCTCATAGATCCCACGGTGTTCCGCCTCCCTCGCCGTCCCTGTCGAAGACATTCGGCTCGCGATGACAGAGAGATTGAAAGGGGGTTATGATGGGGCAATCGAGCCTTATCCGGAGACGTGGATCGAAGAGATATATCTGAAAGTGGCACACTTGGGGGGAACAAGGGATAGGACCATGCGCTGCTGTGTTGTTGCCCAGAGCGCAGCGGCAGCTCGCATAGAGAACTACGATCACAACTCGTCATGAGTTTCACTGGGGATACTTGTACACTACAGTACGGCTTTCGCTGATCGAGTGAGGATCTCTTGGGTCCATCCCTCCACGCAACTTGGACGCCGCTGTCGTGTGACGCCGAACAGCTACACCTCTTGTGGGGTGATTTTTGATGAAACAAGGGTCGCTGGAGAACCTTGGTGAAATGTTTCCGTCTATCACTCCCATCTCGCCTCCGTGCAGAACCTTCTTGCGAGACTATGCTATTCTCCTGAGCATCGTCATCGTGCTTGATGCCCAACTGAGAAAAATTCCCTATTCTGATCTCATCGGAACTGAGGGTTCGAGGTGTTTTATAAGAGGATAACTCATGATCACGACTGTAAGAACTCGAATTCGACCGAAAACGTGGTAGCAGCAATGACTTTTGATTAGGCATTATCTTGTGTGCTCAGATGTGTTGAAGTCTACCTCAAATAGAGAACTTAAGTTTTAGAATTCTTTCCCCACTTTGTCTATGTTTAATCCCAGGATTATATAAACAATAAATCAAGGTAAAATGAGAGAAGTAAACCACTCACCATGTAATGCATCATATTTGCTCTTCATCAAATCATATGGCGCCTAGAGAAAGGGGAAGATATATGAAAGTATTATAACGCAATGAATATCTCCTTCAGCGCAATTGTAACATATTGTTTTTATTGGGCAAACTTTTTTTCTGATTAGCTAATCAATCTTACCCATAAAAAACACATCAATGAACACAAATGGCGTTATTTAAAATCAGGAAAAGTAAGAATACAAAAGTAAATAATCAAACATGTCAAAGAAATGTTTGAATTAATAAAAATATATTTGACCGCTTTGCACAAATTTGAATTCCAAGATTTAGTTAAATGTAAGTCCACTCACATGGAAATAGAAAAAAATCTGATTTAAAAAATCCCCCCCTGCAGGTGTGTATATGTAGAGAGGGAGAGTAATGGAGAAGATGCAAGCAAGAGGCAAAACAAAAGACGTGCGCCATTTCAACAAAAAAAAAGCAATACTGTACATTATAGATAAAGAAAAAATACTTATTTTTTTACGAGTCTTGGTTCAACGGATGCATCTTCTCTACAATCCTGCATGAATTAATCATGGCAAGATGCGTTTGATCAACTTAATTGAATCCTTTTATAATAAGTTTAGCTTTACCCGAAAACAACTATTCGGTTTTTTATATTCACTTAATTTTTTAAATCACTAAACATTTTGTTGGCTTGATCTAAAATGGATCTACCACACTCATTTAATAGCGTAGTAGGATTCACGGCAACACAGGTTTGAAAACTTGATTCACTTCGATTGTCATATGGGAAACCGTCAATGAGTGGTTGTCATTCTAACTTACAGCTATGTACCATACCAGTCAAATGCTGGAGGGCTCGAAACCATGCCAAACACGGCCGTCTGATCCGCCTCTATACAAGTGAAGGTGCTGCGATCTAGTACCGCTGTGGCGACACTAAAGAGGGCTGTAACACAGTGAAGTGCAATCCAATACGCATATAATGAATTGAAAAAATTAGGAAAAAAGAAGTAAGTGTTTTCTACGATACGTTTCACATTTTCTAGTGGATGGAAGAAAAAGCGTCGGTCCTTATTTCCGAGGCAGTGTACATCATTCCTTTGTGTTTCGGTAAACAATTCGGTGGGGGCGGCCCCCGGTTCCCACACAAGCCAGCAGACGCCAATGCTGAGAGCTGCAATTTACCTAGGCAGTACTCTGTGAGGGTTATCCATTCTCCAATGTTGAATGTTACTTCGTCCAAGGCGCGGGGGGTGCCCCGCTAGTGGCTTGATCCATAGCAATTTGAAATGACGTATTCTGATGACTCTTTTCTGCCAACGAATGCTCAAAGTTATCATTAAGTCCGATCCATAGCGGCTTCCGAGTTCTACCCTCGATATATAGCCGCGCAGCAACCTGTAGAGCTTTGTTAGAGCTTGTCAACATATAGAAACGGTAGGTCTGCTTCGTTAAAGAATGATGAAACATATCTTGGAGGAGGCCGACATACTGATCATTCAAACGCTTGAACACTCCCATAGCGGGTCCCTTAGGATTGCACTTGTGTTCACCAAACTTACAGACTGATACGTGAGGAACTGGGTAGATTTTAAGCAACGATTTGATATCCTCCCGCGCCGTGTGGTGCGGGCGCATCCTGGGAAGCCACCAGAACCCCAGCTCCCCGAAAAGGCTTGGATCCTGAAGCCGCACATCAAGCGTGCCGCCATATACGGGACCAAGGTCACTGAAGGAGGGCATGTCGGTCTGATGAGGACTAACACCAGGGCTCTTCAGTGCGATGTCGAGGCTTCGCTGGATCTGCCGTAGCCACGTCCCCCATGCCTTTGGGCACCCTTCCCGTTTAGTTGCATCGCGCGCCATACACAGAGCCATGCCTGTGCGTGTTTGCTGTAGCCACGCATCACGCGTCGCTGACCGCGTCATAGCAACCGCAAAAAAAGCGTACGCGTCCACTGGCGAAAATGGAAACATTTCACGTTCATATGCAAGCCGTGTTACACGAGTCAAGCTGTGTAGCTCGTTTTCCACCATGCGTGCAAACACCTCCCGATCTATCAACTGTGGGGCGTGTGCAAAGGCATAAGGTGGCTCGATCCCATCAAAGTACTGCATCATGATGTGAAAATAATAATTAGGGGAGACTCCCCACCCACGTTCCGTAACGGTTATTTTTGGATCAGGTAGGCTAAATCCAGACGATGTATTCCATCCAGGCTGTCCAAGCATTTCGAGAAGCGCCTCTGGTGAGGCAGAACTATTACTCACCTTCATGACGTTGAACGCATTTTTGGTGTTGTTCGCCGGGTCGAAGCCAGTATACCATTTTATGAAATGATTACGCAGGTTATTTAAACAAATCCCCTGACGCATCCGAACCGCCAGTTTGAGCATGCGATTCGGATCATTTTTGAAGGAATCTCTCCAAAACCAATTAGATTGATCACTATGAATCAGAGGCTCTAGGTGGGCAAAGCGACGACGTAGATGGGACCGCGCCGGCCCTTGCTGCTGCTGATCGAGGTCGCTACTCACGAACGCTCCTTGAAAAAAGTGATGCAGGGTGCACAGCTGCTGCCGTGGTGGGGAGAGTGGGCGGAATAGATCGAAGAACGAAAGCTGCCGACTGAACATGTAGTCGTTATTCACGTAGAGAAAGAACCGCGAGAGGCTAGGGATCCGATGTAACCCAGATTCAATGGCATTGGAGTTCAAGGTCGGCAGGATTCCCGGCTCTTTCTTGGGGTCAGGAAATAGCTCCGCGTGTGTGATAATCCGAAGCATAGGGAACGCCTCAACATTCAGCCACGCCGGCACCTGGTCGCGGTCGGAAAGCACCAAATACACGCGACGAATCAGAGGGCTACGCTGGAGCCTATCCTCACCATCACGCATCTGGACTCGATATCCCAGTGCCTCCAGCGTCTCCCGGTCCTCCTCCTGCTGATCCTTAAAGAGGTTGCCATGCTGCTGCAAGGAAGTGCTGTGCAGGGCGTATTCCAACAATGCCCTGAAGGAGTACCGAAGCTCCTGCCAATCGTTATACCGCTCGGGTGTGTAAGGGACGTCGCGCATAGCCAAATGCCGCTTAAAGGATGGAGCATCGGGATTCACATATGTGTAGACCACATCCAGCTGCATGGGTGTCGCGACACTACCATTTTCAATGGTCCAAAAGGTCGCACCGTGATCTTGGAAAAAGTCGAAAAAGGGATTACGCCCACGCATTTCGCCGCGGTTTGAGTTTTCCGCCACTGGGGAAGTCAGAAAAGCCGCCGCCACGCGTTGAAACGAGTCGGACCAGTCTTCTTCACTGAACTCCAGCACGCTGTGCTTCAGTGAAGAATTGGATTGGATGGAGTGCATCCTCTTAGCCTCCGCTTGCATATCCTCTCCGTAGACGTACTCATAAGCATCCGTCTTAGAAAAGAGCATGATGACGGTGCTATTCACCGCGGGAGCTCGAAATCCATACTTGGGGGCCATATGCTCTGTCAAGCACTTCAACAATGTCTTGGGCTTGTTGTCCATTGTCAAAAGGAAAGGATCACTCGGAAATGTCGAACCTGTGCTATTGCGGTCTATGGAATTAGACAAGGTAGTGTTGAGTAGATGAGTGCACAATAGGCATGTAAGGAATACAACGGCAAGGGTCGCCAGCACGATTATGCGATGGTGGGAACACCAGACAAGACTTTTTTTAAGCAAGATTTTGGAAGAATCCTCTCTTGCGCGTGCGTCGGCACCTACGTCGCATGGTTGATTCTTCCTTAACCTCATAGTTTCACCTTGAGAAAAAATGTGTCACTATGAAAGTGTGAATTGAGTTAGACACCTTAAGCTTAGAGAAGGAAAATGATAGAAATTAATGCTACAGAGCGGTTTCCATCTATCGTTTGTGTGTATCAGAAGCCCAGTGCTTCTAGCACGCCAAAACCCTCGGGTTGCAGTGAAACAAGCATGACGAAAGCGTCGCAATTGAGACGCCAAACACACCCCTAACAGCAGGGAAAGGGAAGGGAAGGGAGTCCTGCCAGAGCCGTCTCCTCCTTGGCCCACCCACGCCGTGCGCGCCTGATGCACAGTCGATGGAGTAGGGGGAAGGGGGGGCAGTGCGGCTCAGCAGTTGGTGTCAGTTTTACCCTTCTTTTTTCCCATATTATTGAAAGTTCAGTGACCCAACGCCACAGAATTGTTTTTTTTGGTGATAATCTGATAACACTTTTTAGGATGCCCCTTTCTCACATTTCTGAACTTTACTCAGTAAATGAAATTCGTATTCGCACTAATACTGCGCAGAATCATATCGGTGTAATTTGCACACACAAATAATGTAAAAAACTTGGTCAAAGGGATTCACGGCATATATGGCTTGTAGGGGGATTTCTCAGACTTTCCTAGTCTTCCCTTAATTAGAGTACCGCTTTCAATTGTACCTTTGTGCTCTCCTGAATGCTAGAAAATTTATGATGTACCCTTTTAAATTTGTGACTATGAATAACTTCTCGACACATGATTAATTTTTCGTTACTATTATCATGAGGTGATCCCTTGAGCACGACCACTAGATCATGAGTTACTGTGAAAACTGCTACAGGGGTAATCACAAAAATTGACTGTTACTGCTCTCAAGATACTGAAAC